AGAGATGGACACCATCCACAGATGCCAAGATGGTTTGAAAACCGAAGTGCAGAATTTAACAGCTAATATGCATCAGATGCTCCAACAGCTGCAAATTTTAGCTCAAAAATTGCCTCTTCCACCACCTCCACCACCTGCAGTGCCTGTTCCAGCTCTGCTACCAGCAGCCAGTGCACTTATTCCCAAAACTCCTGACTATTTACCAGAGAGATTTACAGCAGACTCAACCAAAATGAGAATGTTTCTTGCTCAGTGCCAAATATTCATTGGCACCTGACCAGGGGAGTTTTCAACATACAAATCACGGGTCCCTTTCATTCTCAGCCTCCTCACAGCTTCAGCCACCAGATGGCTGCTTCTTTTCATTGAACGCAATGACCTGATCCTGGATAACTTCCAAAACTTCCTCACCCGATTCATACAACACTCTGGCAACCCCATACAGGAAGAAACTGCCACTCAACAACTCTGCCAGCTTCAACAAGGCAATGGCTCAGTAAGATCCTACACTGAAGAATTCAAACTGATTTCTGCTGGTTTGGATTGGAATGAGCCATCCCTGATTGTACAACTCAGATGTGACCTGCACGATACGACTGTGAACAAATTTATCAGACAAGGAGCCGTATGTACACTGGATGAAATCTACATAGCCTGCATAACAATTGTTAGGTATAACATTGGTCACCTAACTAGTTTGGGTAAGATAATATATATATAAGCTATGATTCTTAGTTTAAAGTGTGTGTTACTTTAAATGCAAAGCATGTAATTTGGGTGTGGTGTGAAACCACCATAAGAGGGAGCAAGAGACGCTGACGAGACGCTGACGAGACGCTGACGATTTCCCTGACGCTTTGCTGGCAATTACTGGAGTTGCAGACGGAAGAGAGGAGTTTCTGAGTTTGTTGCATATCTCTCTCTACTGCGAGGAGATAAATTACCGGACTGTTATTTTGTAAGTGTACCGACCTCTCATTTTGGACATTGGAATTTGCAAATGAATAATCCCTGGACGGACTGAACTAAGTGTATGATATATGGACTGTTTTGACTATGCTTAAACTCTTGCTGGAATAAAACTATTTAATAGGCACTTGTATCTGCTTTTACTGAGTGTAAGCTACACAACACTTATCTCACATATTTTGCCTGCCTGCCTGACTGCCCTGCAGATCTTGCTAGGGTATATCCCTAACAACAATTGAGTCACGTTTCGCAGAAATCTGAGCTTACTCTAACCATCACCACTTGCCACTTCCTGGGCTACCTTCTCCCATTTCTATTCCACACACCCTAACTGCTCCTGATCAAGACAGGAAAGAACCGATGCAAATTGGGACAGCCAGACAAGCCCCCATGGAAGAATGTCAAAAACGCAGGGAGTTAGCTTTCTGTTTCTACTGTGGATAACCTGGACACATGGTGAAGAACTGCCCTTCAAAACCACCCAAGAGAGGAGACAAATTTCCTATCAGCTCCTCCACTGCCAACTTCCCAGATCACAAATACCAGGACCAGGTAAATGGTGACAGTACCTCCCACAAGAGCTCACAGGAGGGGCTCACCAAGCACTGAAAGGGGCTCACATACAACCATGCCAAGTAACATTGTTATGCATTGATTCTGTTCTATTCCTCCCCTCTGGTTGTGAAGAAATCCCTATCTGCTCTGATAGATTCAGCAGCAACAGCTAACTTACAGTTAGGTTTATATTTAACAATGGTGAAGGAGATCAGGATTCCAATAGTCCCTCTGAAGTTCTCTTTGCAAGTAAAAACTAGTGATGGCCGGCTTTTGAAAGTGGGCCCTATTATACATTCCACTGTACCATTGCAATTAACCATAGGCAACCACTCAGAGACTTTAACCTTTTTCATGACTAGCCATCTGGACCTTCCCATAGTATTCAGAGCCAATTGGTTGCTATTTCATGACCCCATGATTAAGTGGAAGCAGTGGTCTCTTAAATGACCTCGATTGCCGCTCTCATTACAATCAGCTGCACAAAATGCCCCTTCAGCCACCCCTGAAGACTAGCAGGAAGATTCCCAATCTCCATAGCAACTACACTGACTGCAGATGTCTTTGGGGCGGAAGAAGCACCTGTCCTTACCCCACAAAGAGAGTGAGTGTGCCATAGACCTGGTTCTTGGGTCCAAAATTCCTGCCAAGAGGCAGTACCAAATGTCAGCTAAGGAATTAATGAACCTGAAACTCTAATTTGCAAAAGGGATGCATACAGCCATCTCAATCACCATCTTTGGCTCCCACCTTTTTTATGCCCCAAAAGTAAGACTACAGCAGACCTAGCGAAAGTGGGAAACCCCCCACAGTGGAGGGAGGAACATTAAAGGACAAGGGCAGATTAGTGGTGTGTGTATACCCCCCACCTGCAAAGAAGTGGTTTTGCACCTTTGCCATTACAACAACAGGGCATGAGGGAGTATTCAAAACTCTGCAGAGAACATTAAAAAGACTTTGGGTGGCCTAAAATGGCAACAGACATCAAGGACTACAGGTAGTCCTTGACTTACAATCACAATTAAGTCCAAAATTTCTGTTGCTAAGAAAGACAGTTGTTAAGTGAGTTTTGTCCCATTGTACAACTTTTCAGTTGTTAAGCGAATCACTGCAGTTGTTAAGTTAGTAACATGGTTGTTATGTGAATCTGGCTTCCTCACTGAAGATCCCAAAAGGTAATCACATGACCCTGGGACACTGCAAGTGCCATAAAAATGAGTCAGTTGCCAAGAGTCTGAATTTTGAACATGTGGCCATGGAGATGCTACAATGGTTGAAAATCTGAAAAATGGTCATAAGGCACTTTTTTCAGTGCCACTGTAACTTTGAACAGTCATTAAAGTAACTGTTGTAACTCAAGGACTACTTCTACATGGCATCTTGCCACACATGCAGGAGGGACAATTTCCTCCATCAGAAAATGGCAGGCCTCTTACAGCCACTCCCTACAACCCCCCCACCCCCACCCCCACCCCCATACAGTCTCTCTGGGCTTCATTACCGATTTACCCGTCCAAGGCTTCATTGCCATTTTGGTGGTGAATCTTTTCACCAAGATGGCTCATTTCATACCCTACAGAGTCCAGCTTTTCCTAGACTATGTCTTTTGCTATCGTGGAATGATATCAACATTAATTTCAGAGAGAGCCCCACAGTTCCAATCCAGGTTTTGGAAGGCACTGTTGCAATTGAATGTCCAAGTCAGCCTATCTTCAGCCTGCCACCCAACTAGGAATGGTGAGGCAGAGAAGACTAACCAGTTTCTTCAACATTATTGGAGGTGCTATTGCACCTAACAAACAAGACAACTGGCCATCATCATTGCGCCTTGCAGAATTTTCTTATAATAACTTGTTCCACACATTGATTTCATTGACACCTTGACGTCTGGTTCTTTGCCAAGTTATTAGCATCCTCAAGACCTTCCAAGAAGCTAGACATTCAACTTGTGTGGCCATTCAAGGTTCTTTGACAAATCAATTCTGTAGCCTTCCATCTCCAATTACCTCCCTCTATGAAAGTGCACCCACTCTTTCATTGACCCTTGTTGCCTAAAGATGCCCCTCCATGTGTGCTAAGATCCCAATATCCCCCCACCCCCACCAGTCATTGTGGAAGGAGTACGAGGTGGAGGAAATCCTGGACTCTAGACTCAAAGGCAAAGGCATTCAATGGCCACACTTGGAATACTGCATTCAGTTTTGGTCACCACGATGTAAAAAAGATGTTGAGACTCTAAGAAAGAGTGCAGAGAAGAGCAACTAAGATGATTAGGGGACTGGAGGCTAAAACATATGAAGAACGGTTGCAGAAACTGGGTATGTCTAGTTTAATGAAAAGAAGGTTTAGGGGAGACATGATAGCAGTGTTCCAATATCTCAGGGGCTGCCACAAAGAAGAGGGACTCAAGCTATTCTCCAAAAGCACCTGAGGGCAGGACAAGAAGCAATGAGTGGAAACTAATCAAGAAGAGAAGCAACCAAGAGAAGCACTAAGGAGAAATTTCCTGACAGTTAGAACAATTAATCAATGGAACAACTTGCTTCCAGAAGTTGTGAATGCTCCAATACTTGGAGTTTTTAAAAAGATGTTGGATAACCATTTGTCTGAAGTGGTGTAGGGTTTCCTGCCTAAGCAGGGGGTTGGACTAGAAGACCTCCAAGGTCCCTTCCAACTCTGTTATTCTATTCTATTTTTAATTCATTGGAAAAGCTACCCTGCTTCTGATTGCTCCTGGGGGAATGCATGTTATGTTCATACCCCTGATTTAGTATGCCAATTTCACCTACACTTCCCTGTGAAACCATGACCCACCACTCTGCTAGACCCCTGTCCTGCACTACCTGAGGAACCCATCGAGGAAGAAGTTAAGCAGCCTCTCTGGATTGCTCCAGGGACAGGGGTCACTGGCTGATGATAGGCCTTCTACCTCTGGCCTTCTAACTCCTGGGCAGGGGATGTGGAGGCCTGAGGCTACTCAGGGATTAATATAAAGTTTTGTCCTGTGGTCACTTTAAATGGAGTGAATCTGGTGGTACTGTGTACTGAGTTATTGTAGGTGACCTCTGCGAAAGGGAGAAGATCCACTCAATTATCTTGTTGGAGAACCACCTAGCAGATAACAACCTGAGGCAAGTGTGGAAGGGACTGCAACACCTAACTAACTATAAGGGCAACAGGAGGAACATGGTCAATGCTGATGCCTCATTGGTAGAGGAGTTGAACATGTTCTTTGCCCACTACGAGGTGAAAAGACCAGACTCCGTAGCCTCTGCCTGCCAGCCTTCTGATTCCCAGCCAGTCAACCTATACCAGTGGTGGCTAACCTTTTTGGGCTCCTGTGCCGAAAATTGTGCGTGCTCTTGCGCTTGCATGCCAGCACCCAGAAGGTAATGGGCATGGGGGAGCCCATGGCCCGTGCATGCATGCACGACACCCCCCAATGCGCACAGCGCATCTCTACGCATGTGCATGAGATCCCCCCGTGTGCACCATGCATCTCTGCACATGCACATGCATCTCCTGCTCACCCCCGCCCCACACGCATGTGCGCCAGATACCTGACGATCACCTGGTGGGTGGCACGCGCCCATGCGCAGTAAACTTATTCTGGGTGAGGGCTTGCGTCCCAGCAGTAATGGCTCTGTGTGCCACTTCTGGCACGCATGCAATAGGTTCTCCATCACAGTGAATGAGAGTTGCACTGAAGGCTGTGAATCCCAGTAAAGCTGCAGGTACAAATGGGGTGCTGGGAATAGTGGTAAAGGCTTGTGCCAATCTATTAGCAGGGGTCCTGACAAAGATCTTTAACATCTCCCTGCAAACAGCCTGTGTTCCATCATGCTTGAAAACAGCCACTATTGTCCCAGTCCCCAAGAAAACAGCAATTAAGTGCCTAAATGACTACAGACCTATCGAGTTAACGTCAGTAGTGATGAAATGCTTCAAAAGACTGGTTCTCCAACATCTTAGGACATGCCTTGGCACATCCCACAGCCATGGGCTGAATGCGGGGCCCAAAGTGGAGGGGAGGGTGAGCGGGCGGCAGGCACCCAGAGGCCCCGCAGCAGCCGAGAGGCAGGCCCAAAAGGCGGCTGAGCCTCACTGTCTTCCCCCCCGAGGCAGCCCTTCGATCAAGTGGAGCAGGTCCAGGGTAGATTTCCCTCCCCCACTGTTGGCCTCAACCATGGCCGGGGGAAGCCAGCTGGCAAAGTGGTGATGCGGGCGGTGCAGCCTCATGCTCCCTGGCCACTGACAGCCATGGCAGGTGAGACCCAGCAGCTGCAGAGTCCCAGTGGGGGCTGAAATGTGGGCTGGGGGGTAGCAGCAGTGGCTCAGCCCTGGCTCACCTTCCTCTCTGCCACCAGCCATGGGAGAAAGGGAAAAGCAGGCGGGGATCGGGGGTTGTGGCCAGCCAGGAAAGCCGAAACGCCCAGAGCAAGGCCCAAAAGGCAGCTGAGCCTTGCCATGTCCACCCCCCACAAGGTGGCCCTTTGGCCAAGTGTGGAGAGCCCAGAGCTGATTTCCCTCCCCGCCACTGGCCTTACCTTCCAGTTCCAGCCCATGAGGTTCTCACTGCTCTGCTCACTGCAGCTGCCCATGAAGGTAAGGCACCTGGCTCGGCCAAAAGGTGGGGGCTGGTGGGGCTATGTGGGCAGCGCAGTGCGGTCCCACGCAGGCTGGATTGTTTTGGTGGGCGATATCCAGCCCACAGGCTTTAGTTTGAGGACCCCTGGGCTAGCATGTCCTTCATCAAGGGGAGGGGGAGTAGACATTTTACACACAGACAGCATTAAGCCCCCGATAGTTAACAAATAGATGAAGAAACCCATCCTTCTTTTCCCTAAACCAATGGTTGCCAACCGGTGGGCCAGGGACCACTGGTGGTCCGTGAGAAAATTTTGGTGGTCTGCAGAGAAATGTCCCCCCCAAATCAATTAATCCATGTTGCGTGGGAACACAAGGCTGCAGAAGCAGCGTGGGAAACTTTGGCCAGGCTCTCAAGAGACGAGAGTGACTCCGGCTGCTTCTCTCTGTTGAGTGAGATGATTTTGCAGATAGCTTGGCTGCCTGTCAGCTGAGAGAAGCAGCCGGAGTCACTCTCATCTCTCAAGAGCCTGGCCGAAGTTTCCTGTGCTGCTTCTGCAAGTGTTCCTCGAGAGACGATTTTGCAGATAGCTTGGCCGAACTTCTGTCCCTGGGAGTCAACGCACTGAAGCGTGAGCGGTGCAGGAAACACTGGCTGGGCTCTTCGAGCAAAGGCGGAATGCTGATGCCATGCAAATGCAAACAGCACGGCGCTCCCGCATCTTCCAGCCATCTCCATCTCCACTTCAGCCTGCCTGTGCTGCCGCCCCCCTCTTGCCACAACAGCACCATTACCTCGTCCTGGCCAGCAAGGGCTGTGCTGATTTTTGCACGTTGCACCACCCACAAATGTGTATATTACACATGACATCTCCTATGGCTGAGATTTCCAACTCACTGGTCCCATATTCCAGAGCTTCAGTAGTCACAAGAGTGGCCCTTTGGTCATCCCAGAGCAGCACCTCCAGTCCATGGAAAGCCGGTGCACCCAGGTGGAGGAGCAGCCAGTCCTGTAACTATTGCAGCTCTGGAATTGGGATCAACTTTAGCCCCCAATGTCAGCAAGCCACCATCAGTCAAAATTCACATTAGTGGTCCACGGGATTTAAAATTATGAGTTTTGTGGTCCCTAAGGTCCTAAAGGTTGGTGACCCCTGCCCTAAACAGTATTGAGGCAGCCACCCTTGGTCTGGCAGGCTGGATGAAACCATGTTTCAGGGATTTATCTATAAAAGTCTGTAGTTCCTCCAATTCCCTAGGGGTCATGGAATACAGCTTAGGTTTGGGTAGTTTGGCCCAGAGTAGAATTTCTTTTTTTTAAAAAAAAACAATTTTATTGGTTTTTAAAGACAAACAAAAAAAACAAAACATAAAAACATCCAGCTTTCTTTCATAAATATACAAGCAGTGTGTCGGTTGGTTTACCAGTTCTTTGTGCATCCATTTCGTAGTCTCAATTACAGTTACATTACATAATAACTCATATTATCAATCAGAAATTAAATACCCTGGTATCACTATTAAACAATCATTTGACTATAATTTTATTCATTCATACTTTGCGAGATAACTATAATTTACTTAATTTATTTTATAACAAATCATATAATCATACCAAATCTATCCTAAAAACATTATTATACATATATCAAAAATAAAAAAGAAATATATTCATTATATATTCATTATTTCCTAGAATTCTAGATATTCTATTATTGTATTTTATTATCTAACCATTGGTAGAAAAGGTCCCAAATTTTATAAAATTGTTTATCCTCTTGTTCTCTAATTTCAAATGTCAATCTACTCATTTCAGCACATTCCAATATTTTCTTAATAAGTTCTTCCTGCGATGGTATTTTCTCATTTTTCCAGTTTTTAGCAAATACAATCCTAGCCGCTGTTAATACATTTATAATCAGGCATTTCAAATCTTTACTATATGTATCATGTAAGATTCCCAATAAAAAGATCTCTGGTTTCAAGTCTATATGTTTCTTTGTCATTTTTTCCAACCACATGCGAAGTTTAATCCAATATTTTCTAGCGTCCTCACAAGTCCACCACATATGGTAATATGAGCCAGGTATCTGATGACATTTCCAGCATTTTTCGGATTTGTTCTTGAACATTCTTGCTATTCTTGTCGGGGGAAAGTGCCACCTGTAAAACATCTTATACAAATTTTCTTTATATGCTGTTGACATTGTCATTTTATAATTTTGAGACAACAATTTTTGCCATTTCTCTAAATCAATCCCATATCCAAAATTCTTCCCCCAAGCAATCATAGTTTCTTTAACTTGTTCTTCTTCTAATTTAATTTCTAATAAATATCCATACAATTTTTTAATCACCTTTTCATCAGTACCTGTCAAAATCTTATCTAAATCAGTCAATTTACCATAGAATCCTTCTGTTTTAAAATATTCATCATACCTTGAATGTATTTGCGCATATGAAAACCAATTCATCTTTATACCTTGTTCCTCTAAATTTTGCATCGATTTAAGTTCACCCTTTTCATCCAATATTTCACCATATCTAACTGTTTGTTCCTTCTTATAAATTATAGGGTAGGAAAATGCTTCAATAGTCAATAACCAAACTGGAATTTTCAAATAACATTGTCTTTTAATCTTCTCCCAATTTAACTACAAAGACTCCCATATATGATGTCTTCTAAAATAGCCCTGTGTTTTAGTTCCCTTATACCATAAAAAAGCATGCCAGCCCAACAACAAATCATGTCCTTCTAGTGTCAACAATCTAGTCTTCCTTAATGTTATCCATTCCTTGGACCACATCAAATTTACAACTCCCAATTAGGCAAACCAAATCCTCCTCTAATTCTAGCATCTTGTAAAAGTTTTAACTTTATTCTCACTTTCTCACCTTGCCATACATATTCCAACACAATTTTATTTAAATCTTCAAAATAGTCTTTTCCAAGCTTAATTGGTATTGTTTGAAACAAATATAAGATTCTGGGTAGGATAGTCATCTTGATTGTTGATATTCTCCCTATTAATGACAATTGTAAGTTCTCCCATTTCATCAAGTCTAACGCTATCTGTTGTTTAAGTTTAATATAATTGTTCTCTTTTAATGTACTACATCTTGATGTCTAATGTATCCCCAAATACTTAACCTTATTCGTAACTTGAATTTTCAACAGGTCTGCCAGTTCTTCTCTTTGTCTTAATAACATATTCTTTGTCAAGATCTTTGTTTTATCTTTGTTTATTTTCAAACCAGCCACCTCACCATATGTCTCTATCTTTTCCAATAATTTTGGAGCTGTGTCTAAGGGGTCTTCCAGAATAAAGGCCAAGTCATCTGCCAAGGCTTGCAATTTAAATTCTTCCTTTTTAATTTTCATTCCTTTTATACTTTTATCATCTCTAATATTTCTGTTCAACACTTCCAAAGTTAATACACATAGCAAAGGTGATAGTGGGCATCCTTGTCTTGTACCTTTTCTTATATTGATAGAATCTGTAAATTCTCCCTCTATCATTACCTTTGCCATTTGCTTATAGTATATGGCTTCTATTGCTTGAATAAATTTTCTGGTGAAACCCATCTGTTCCAGTAATAATAACATAAATCTCCAATTCACATTATCAAATGCCTTTTGCGCATCTAAGAATATCAGAGCCATTTGCTTTTCAGGATGTGCCTCATAATATTCCAAAGTGTCCAGAATTACTCTCATATTGTCTTTGATTTGTCTCTTTGGCAGAAATCCATTTTGATCTGGATGAATAAAGTTATTTAAGTATTTTTTAAGTCTTTCTGCCAAAATTGAAGCAAAGATTTTATAGTCTGCATTTAATAGAGAGATAGGTCTATAATTCTTAATTTGCAATGGATCAGCCTCTTCTTTTGGAATAAGTGTAATATAAGCTTCTGACCATGATTTAGGTATCATCTTCTTTGACATAACTTCATTCATGACTTCTAGCTATGGAAGACTCAGCGATTCTTGTAGTGTTTTATAAAATTCTGCCGGGAGCCCATCAGAACCTGGTGCTTTTCCATTATTTTGCTTCTTAAGTGCTTCAGTTAATTCCATCATTGTTATATTACTTTCTAACATTTCTTCAGTCTCTTTAGGTATCTTAGGTAGATTAGCATTCTGTAAGTACTGTTTGGCTGTTTCCTCATCAATATTCTCTTGCTTGTATAGTTGCTCATAGAAGTCTCGAATAATTTCCTTTTTCTCTTTATTGCCATAACAAACTTGGCCTTGGTCATCTGTGGTGGTCTCTCATAGAAAAGATGAGACACAAGCGAGTGTTCTCGGGATGAGAGCCCAGAGCAAAATCCAGCGCTCCCTTTTATTGAGATTTTTGTACATGGTAAACATAGCAAGCATAATCACATGATGGGTTACAATAGTTCAGATATAGTATAGACTTGTGTATTGCTGTCTGAGACTTGTGTATTGCTGTCTGAGCTGTTTCCTAGTTCCTTGTGTTTATTCTTATTGTTCTCATTGTGAAATTTCCTTACACTATCTCAGTGACCTTTAAACAAGCATGTATGTACAAAGTATTAGATTGATCATTACCCAAACCCAAGCCAAAGTTTTATTCCCACAGTCATCTATTAACTGCAGTATTTTCCTTGATTCTTTCTCCTTTCTCAATTTGTATGCTAACCATCTACCTGGTTTATTTACATCTTCAAAGTAGTTCTGTTTAGCACTTCTAATTTTCTGTGCCAATTCTTCTTTCTCTATTTGACCCATTTTATGTTTAATTATGTCCAACTTTAGTTTAATGTCTTTTTTCTGTGGCGTTTTCTGTAGTTCTTTTTCAAGTCTTTTATGCTCATCTTCTAAAACTTTAGTAGCTTGCCTTTTCCTAATGTTCTTTTTCCTTATATAGTCTATTATCAAGCCTCTAGCATATGCCTTCATTGTGTTCCAGACATTCTGGATTGAAGTATCTTCTTTTTTGTTTTCTTTAAAGAAAAAGGCCAATTCTTTCTCCATCCATTGTGTAAAGTCTTTTTCCTTTAAAATAGTATTATTTAACATCCATCTTGATCTTCTTTTTTGTCCTTTCCATTTAATTATCATTGGATTGTGGTCTGCCCAAGTACTTGTTTCAATATTTGTTTCTTGAATGTTAGATATTAGTTCTGTTGAGATCCAAATCATATCTATTCTGGACCATGATGAATGTCTATTTAAGTAAAAAGTATATTGTTTAGCTTTAGCATTTCTTTCTCTCCATATATCTTTTAAATTTAATTCATATATCATTTTAAAAAAGGATTTAGGGAGAGTCTTTCTGTTTTGCTTTATTGTTGTTGCTGTATAGTCCAGTTTATTGTCTATAATTCCATTGAAATCTCCCATCATACCTATATTAACATAGTCCAGTCCAATTATTTTCATGTGTAATTTTTTGTAAAATTCTTGTTTATCATTCGGAGCATAAATTGCAATCAGGAGTGTTTTCATATTATTGACCATTATTTCCACCATTAATACTCTTCCATCTTCATCAGTATGAATCAATTTTGCTGAGATGGTCTCTTTAATATATAAAACCACTCCTCTTTTCTTACATTGAGTCAGAGAAGTAAATATTTTCCCTAATTTTGGCTGGACCAACAATTGTTCATATTGTTTTTTAATGTGTACTTCTTGTAGACAAATTATATCAAATTCTAATTTCTCTAATTTATGAAAAATTTTCCTTCTTTTAGCAGCTGAGTTAAGTCCATTTATATTCATTGTAATCAGTTTTTTCTCTTCCATAGTTACATTTTGTATTTAGGTTTGACGGCTCTTGTAGATCTTGGTTCACGTTGTTCTTGGATTGTGGTAATTCATCATATTCATCATATTCTGTAAGTTCTTCGTACAGCTTTGCATAGATCTGGGGGTTTTACAAACGCTCCTCATGGGGGCAGTAGTGCCTTTATGATGGGTGGTTTGTCCTGTTTTGGTCTGCAAAGCTTAGATGGACCAGGAATGTAGGTGAAAGTTCACAGTACCCAGCCGAGCCATTCCCATGAGACCTTTCGTGCCTGGATATTCTCACGGGACTTTATCACCCTGCTGAGGCCCTGTTGAGGTCATTGTTTTGATTTTGTACTTGCATTTTCTTAAATAAATACTGCTACCCGAGTGCTCTCGGGGCTGGCATTTGCTCAGACGGTTCCCTGCGTCTCATTTCAAGTGCCAGACCACCACATTGGATCTCCACCTGTCCACCTACTGCACCTTCTTCTTTTTCAGTCCCCATTTGGTCCTCTTGGAATTCAATTAGTGAGATCTCTAAAAAGAGACCACAGTAGAATTTCTATGGAACAGTCGGTTAACCAGTGGGGTGAGAGTGCATATGTCCCCTTTTCACTGAAAATGTCCCATAAATCCCAGTTCTCTTTGGGGATCTGAGGATCGCCTTCGGGGCAGTCTTTGGAAGCTGCTCCCACCTCCCTTCTTGGTTTCACCCACAGCAGCTTAGGGATGGGCTTTTTACAGTCCTTCTCCCATCCCTCTTCGCAGCTGGCCTGTTGGATCTTTAGCAACCACTCCTCCAATTCACATAGGGGTTCCACCTCAGAAGCCAAGACAGTCCTAACACAAGGGGGCTCTCCATGCCAGGTGCCACAATAAAGCCCAGGGTCTCCATTTGTGCACCCATCCTCTTCTCTATTGGCTCAGTGATGAATGTCGGTAGGTTCACCCTGCCACTGAGCCATCCAGCTGGAAAAAAACCTATAAGCACTTTAAGTTATCTGAGTCTCAGACTGTTTCTCGACCAGGGCAGGGTTAACCAGACTTCTGGTGCACCCTGAGTCCAGGAGGGTTACTAGGCTACCTTTGCGCCCTGAGGATTGAACCACCAGTTCTATGGGGATGGTCACTGGGTTGATTGAACTTACCAAGGGATCATCATAGTGTGACTCACTTTCCACCCGGCTGCCCACAAGGTTGGTCGGAGTTCTCACCATCCTTGGGAGATGAGGTGAACTCTAAAACCTCCACTCCTTTCAGGGCTGTCTCCTAGGGTTCTGTGGCGGTTTTGCTGAATTTTTGGCAGGACCTAAAGTTGCCTTCTGGGTTGGGTATGCAGCTCTGTAGTTGGCAGCTCGGTACCCCTCCTTCCTGCACCTGAAGCAGCCAGCAGATCATCAGTGTGGGCTCTGCTCATGTGGTGGCAGTTTTGGAGCCTCTTTCTTTCAGGGAGGGATCTTCACCACTCCCATGGGCTTCTCTTCACATTCTTCCTTCTTCCAGACTCTGAAGGACCATCAGGGTCTTGGTGGGTTGTCCTCTCCAGCCACTCAGATAGATCTAGCCCTCCAGGAGAGGGTTTCGTGGATGGTTCCCTCCAGGCTTCAATCTCTTCTTGGCTGCTCCTTTGAGCCAACATCGTTTGCACTCCCACAATAGAGGCGATTTCCGCTCCGGGTTGACCAGAATTGCAGAGCTTGCCTAATGTCAGTTATGCCCCAATCCAATCCCTTAGGAAAGAAAGACCCTCGACTTCATTTGGTTGAAGCGAAAGGTTCTTTTTAATAAAAAGAAGTTGGCTGTAGTAAAGTCAGGCTAGCTCTGGATTTCCCATGCTCAAAAGATACAGCAAGTTTTCCACTCATCCCAGCCCTCCCCCTCATCCCAGTCCTCCTTCAGCCAATCGGAACTCGCCAAAGTGTTTTGAGAATGCTGAGATTTTTTGAGGGTAATTCATATTCTTTCACAGGGTGTCTGGCCTTAGATGCTGGTACAAACTGGTTCCGAACTTCTCTGGTCTTTATCACCTATCATTCCCCACTCCCTATTTCCCATCACATACACACACAGCTTTATTGCCCATCTATCCTCCCCTCCTTCTAGCCTTTGATGGCAGGATGCCTGTGAGGTGCCAAGCCGAGCCTGGCAGACCTGACAGGAACCTTCTAATCTGGTTTCTCTGTTTCAGCAGCTGGCACCTGGCTCACCAGCCCCTTCAGAAGAATGGAAGGAAGATTCCTTTAACACGGTTTCCCTCCCGCCCTTGCCTAGTTCACATGAGAACAATTCTGTTGACATCCATATCATATCTATTCTGGACCATGATAAATGTCAATTTGAGTAGAAGGTGTATTGTTTAGTTTTAGCATTTCTTTCTCTCCATGTAGGAAGGAAATCATACGAGACTATTATGGGAAACTATACACACAAGAGAATATTGACGAGGAAAGAGTTAAACAGCATTTACAAAATGCTAATTTACCTCAGATACCTAAAGAGACTGAAACAATGTTAGAAAGCAATATAACGATGATGGAGTTAACTGAAGCACTCAAGAAGCAAAATAATGGAAAGGCACCAGGCCCACATGGACTTCCGGCAGAATTTTATAAAACATTACAAGAATCGTTGAACCTTCCATTGCTAGAAGTTATGAATGAAGTTATGTTAAAGAAGAAGATACCCCAATCATGGTCAGAAGCCTATATTACACTTATTCCATTACAAATTAAGAACTATAGACCCATTTCTCTACTAAATGCAGATTATAAAATTTTTGCTTCAATATTGGCAGGAAATATTTAAATAATTTTATTCATCCTGATCAAAATGGATTTCTGCCAGAGACAAATTAAAGACAATATGAGAGTAATCTTGGACACCTTGGAATACTACGAGGCACATCCTGAAAAACAAATGGCTCTGATATTTCTAGATGCACAGAAGGCATTTGATAATGTGAATTGGTGATTCATGTTATTACTGTTGGAACAGATGGGTTTTGCTAGAAAATTTATTCAAGCAATAGAAGCTATATACTATAAGCAAAGGGCAGAGATAATGATAGAGGGAGGAACTGACAGACTCTATCAATATAAGAAAAGGAACAAGACAAGGGTGCCCACTATCACCTTTGTTGTTTGTGTTAACTTTGGAAGTGCTAAACAGAAATATTAGAGATGAAAAGAATATAAAAGGGATGAAAATTAAAAAGGAAGAATTTAAGTTGCACGCATTTGCAGATGATCTGGTTTTTATCTTAGAAGACCCACTAGAAACAGCATCAAAAATGATAGAAAAGATAGAGACATATGGAAAGGTGGCTGGTTTGAAAATAAATAAAGATAAGACAAAGATCTTGACAAAGAATATGCTATCAAGACAAAAAGAAGAATGGGCAGACCTATTGAAAATTCAGGTCACGAATAAGATCAAGTACTTGGGGATATACTTGACAGCAAGATGCAGTACACTAAAAGAGAATAATTATATCAAACTTAAACAGCAGATAGCGCTAGATCTGGCAAAATGGGAAAATTTACAACTGTCACTAATAGGGAGAATTTCAACAATCAAGATGAATATATTACCCAGAATTTTATATTTGTTTCAAATAATTCCAATTAGGCTTGGAAAACATTACTTTGAAGATTTAAATAAAATTGTGTTGAAATATATATGGCAAGGTAAGAAAGCGAGAATAAAATTAAAACTTTTGCAAGATGCTAGAATTAGAGGAGGATTTGGTTTGCCTAATTGGGAGTTGTATTATCAAGCTACAGATCTGATGTGGGTTAAGGAATGGATAACACTAAGAAATACTAGATTGTTGACACTAGAAGGACATGATTTGTTGTTGGGCTGGCATGCTTTTTTATGGTATAAAGGAATTAAAACACAGGGGTATTTTAGAAGACATTATATACGGGAGTCTCTTTGGTTAAACTGGGAGAAGATTAAAAGACAATGTTATTTGAAAATTCCAGTCTGGCAATCGACTATTGAAGCATTTTCTTATCCTATAATATACAAAAAGGAACAAACAGTTAGATATGGTGAAATCTTGAATGAAAAGGGTGAACTCAAATCTATACAAAAACTAGAGGAACAAGGTATAAAGATGAATTGGTTTTCATATGTGCAAATACATTCAAGGTATGATAAAGATTCTAAAATGGAAGGTTTCTATGATAAATTGACTGATTTAGATAAGATTTTGACAGGTACTGATGAAAAGGTGATTAAAAAATTGTATGGATATTTATTAGAAATTAAATTAGAAGAAGAACAAGTTAAAGAAACTATGATTGCTTGGGGGAAGAATTTTGGATATGGGATTGATTTAGAGAAATGGCAAAAATTGTTGTCTCAAAATTATAAAATGACAATGTCAACAGCATATAAAGAAAATTTGTATAAGATGTTTTACAGGTGGCACTTTCCCCCACAAGAATAGCAAGAATGTTCAAGAACAAATCCGAAAAATGCTGGAAATGTCATCAGATACCTGGCTCATATTACCATATGTGGTGGACTTGTGTGGATCATAAAAAATACTGGACTAAAATCCACATGTGGTTGGAAAAAATGACAAAGAAACACATAGACTTGAAACCAGAGATATTTTTATTGGGAATTTTACCTGAAATATATAGTAAAGACTTGAAATATCTGATTGTAAATGTATTAACAGTGGCTAGGATTGTATTTGCCAAAAACTGGAAAAATGAGAAAACACCATCACAGGAGGAAATCATTAAGAAAATATTGGAATGTGCTGAAAAGTGTAGATTGACATTTGAAATTAGAGAACAAGAGGATAAACAATTTTATAAAATTTGGGATCTATTCTATCAATGGTTAGACAATAAAATACAGTAATGAAATATGTAGACTTTTAGAAAATAATAAATATATAAAGATGTACTTCTTTCTTATTATATCTACAAAATGATTTTAGCATAGATTTGGGATGATAATATGAACTGTTATAAAACAAACTAAGTAAATTATGATTATCTTGTAAAACATGAATAAAAGTATAGTCAAATGATTGATTAATAATGATACTAAGGTATTTAATTTTTGATTATATGCAATGTAATTGCAATTGAAGACTACAAAATGGAAGCACAAAACAATTTGTAAACCAACCGGCACACTGTATGTATACATATGGAAGATGGTTTGATGTTTTTATGTTTTGTTTGTTTGTTTGTTTGTTTGTTTTTAAAAACCAATAAAAACTTTTAAAAAAAAGAAGAATGGAAGGAAGATTCCTTTAACACGGTTTCCCTCCCACCCTTGCCTAGTTCACATGAGAACTCAGACTTTAAAGAGGATGGAGGAGGGGGAGAGCAGCTCCAAGGAGCCTATGGAGGAGGTGGGCCAAGTTGGAGGGGGGAATAATGTACGATATGACTAGGCTGAGCCTAAGGGTGGGGTCAACAGCATCATCAGTTTGGAGTCCCTAGGCCCCTGTTAAGAGACCTACATCCAGCCCCCCTTAGAGTCAGTTGACTCTTATCTGGCGCCAATTTGTCTCGATCAGATTCTTGTGTATAGGTAGTATGAACTAAACTTGTAGTGCTTTTGAACTGTATCC